TCCTATTGACTATTGCTTATATTGTCAATAAAATTTGTTGAAATTAAAATTGAAAGTAGCCTTCCTTGGTGAAGTGTTAAAGTCTGAACATGCATCATGTATGTAAACTTAAATAAGTTTTTATCAATACATGTGTATTGTATTATGTAAATTCCACTAATTTCACAGCAAATCTTAATTATAATTTGACAGTATTTATCTTTAATTTGGTAAGTTTTGCTGCCTTTCTTACTTCCCTTACAATATAACTGATTTTTATTCCTAAGCATTAAGAGATGCCAAGAATAAGAAGTTTAGGAGGTTCAGAAAGCAGTTCATCAATAGAGATGAGAAAGATGAAAGCAGCGAAATAAAAGAGGAGCAACCTACAGGGGCCATAAGTAAGATGACGCCGGCGGAGTACCGGAGATTACAGCCGTAAGTAGCTTACGGGGGACTGTTATAATCAGGGTTACTCGGAAGGTTTATTGTGATTTAAATTATAGACTATAGTCATGTGATTTTATAATTCATGGATGGGTGATGACTTGATATTGAATTTTCTAAAAAAAAAAAAAAAAAATTTACCTGTTATGTTTTTGAGGTGCATATATGTGCGATACTATAGTTTATAGTTTGACTTTGAATATCAAATACATCCAGGATTGATGCTGGTTACATCATAAAGGCATGTCACAATGTGGAGAATTAGATATTCTACAGTATTATTTAACATGTGATATAACAAAGCTATTTTGGGTAGGCATTATTGACAGGCTTAACATAACAGTTTATTTATATTTGTAATCAGGAACTTTCAGAAGGGAAAATTTGAAATATTTAATGTAAAAGATTATATGTGGCTGTTGTATTTGATTTTATTGACTATGATATGAAGTAATTTTCTGTTGTACAGGAAAAGACCAGCCATCAAAACTATTATAAAGTAAGTAGAATGGGCCCCAGGTTATCATCCTATCTTACAGAATCATTATAAGGTAATATGTATCAGCCCTGGTTTACTCTTGTCCTACAAAACCATTATAAAGTAAGTTAAATGGGCCGCAGGTTAACTTTCGTCTTACAAAACCATTCTAAAGTATTTTAGCAGTAAAGATTTTATAGGGTTGCAAAATTATTAGATTGATGAAATAATAGAGATTTCTTTATATCTATTGTAAAAATCAGTGTTTTCAATGAACCTTAAATTCAAACCCTGGTTTATTTGTGTATAACAGTCAGAGATCCCCAGCCATTGTAGCCATTTTACCGTCCCCTAAAGAGGAGGCCAACTGGTTGTTCAGAAGGAGAGGAGCTTTGTCACCTAAGTAAGCATCTACAGTCACTTGGACCTTTTCTATATTGTTCTGTACCAAATTTGACAAAACTTATCTCACTTTTAATCAAGATAAAAAAAGATTCTTTTTTCAATGACTTTGTATGAAGTTTTAATGAGGTCATCGTAACTTGTCACTGTAACATGTTTGTTAACAGTAGCAATCAATCATACATCAGTTATTTCTCTTGGTTTTGTTCTTTGATAGTTCACTGTCTAAAAAGGGACGGGAGCCTGCGACAGAGGAGGCGGATGATGGAGACATGTTTGGAGATGATTTCTTTATAGAAAAGAAAACATTTAAGTAAGTAGTCAATGTTTTAAGAGTGTTATGGTTACTTACTGTACTAACTGCTGGGTATCAATTAATGAAACATTAATGTGCAACTCTTGCAACAGCTCACGAGATGATAAAAGAAATAGGTGAATCAGATGGTAACTAAAATTTTCTTCATACTGCACATTGACAGCAAAATGTTGGATTTCAATTGTTTGCGATATGTCAGTATGTAAGACAGAGAATCAGGATAATAAAATTATCTGTTGGTATTGGATTAAATCATTAGCCTTTTGGCACTAGAATTAAGCACAACATTAATTTCAAGATCAGAGCCTCACTTGTTTAACATGAATTAGAGTTAAGTTTTTCTTATAATATGATATTGGTTCCTTAAAGAATTGGAATAATTGGTGAAGCCCTTAGCTTGTTTAATGAGAAGACCCTGACTCCCTTAGGGGCTAATGATGAGGAGGAGGGTGAAGAGGGAGAGGAAGGAAAGAAACAGTAAGTATTACATAGATGCCACTTTTGACAATATATTTCTCATATGTCAAACTATATATTATGTTTTTAGATAAGAATGTTGAAAGATCACAATATCTACATCACATTAAAAAATAAACTTATTTGACTCCCAGAAATTGCGAACAGCAGTTTTAATTTGCAATTTTGAGGGACCCTTTCTGACAACGTTAGAATGACTAACATGTAACACTTTGTGTTCTGCACTACAGGGCTGCTCCAGAGGAAGGAACCCGGGACAAGACTCCGCCTCCAGGTAATATACTTTTAATTCTTCAACCCAAAGGTTAAGAAGAAGACTTGATAACTACATATTTACAAATATGGGTCAAATCTATTTATGTCAAATGTTATTTTACCTATGAGAAATACAGAAATGTCACTTCACCATTCAGCTTCTCTCAATGCAAATTGTATTTCAATTGTAATGAAAAACTAGGGTTGTATCAGTACTCTTTATTTAATACCGATGTATAACTCTGGAATTATTTGATGTATAGCTGACACTTGATGGTACTTATTTACTTTATATGTATGTTACAGAGAAATAGTAAGTAACAGTACTTTACAGGGTGTGACACTCACTGGGCTAACAGCCATCTGGGAAGTGTGATTAATTCTCTCTCTTTGTACAGTTATATCACCTGGTCTAATATTTACAAAAAGGAAATGTACTTGCAATACATCTTAAATAATAGGTCTCTATATTTTTTTTACATAACTTTATAAAAAAAATTGTAATGTATAGCCCTTTAATTTAGCAGCTTCAAAATTTGGCTGTTTTATTCCTGGAACATATTCGTGGAGTTTGAATTTCATGCATTGCCAGTTTAAGCCAGTAATCCTTAACTCTGTATCAGACAGGCATAAATCTGACGGATTTAAATTTTCTTTTTTGGAAATTTTGTGAAACTTAAGCATTGAAATATGAGTGCAATACAGTGAATCCATATTATTCCTTGATATTTTCGATACTTTGTGAGAATTGAATCATACACACTTCCCGAGATTGCTGAGATAGTCGGCTCTAGTCAAGGATCAGGAAACAATGGTGTGACTGGCTTATAATTTTCTGACAGGAATGACAAGATTTCTGTCCTAGCTAGTTGGCTGTTTTTGAAGACTAGGAAATATTAATGGTGTGGTTGGCTTATAATTTACTGACAGGAGGAATGGCAGGCTTTGTTATGTTGAATGATTTTTAGGTGTCACTCAGTAATGCATGGCATTGAACTCAAATACATATTTATTTGCTTTAATTGATAAATTAATGCATGCTAATGTTTAAAAATTGAAACTGTTGAGAGATTTCATTAATCATGATTAAATACATAACATAACATTATGGTTGTGATTTCTAGATGAAGAAAGTGTACTGTGTGATCTTACTACTGAAGTGACTTAATTTGATCAGTTAAATGAAATAAGACTATATGTATATAATCTAAGCTTGATCACATAGATTTAGAAAACACAATACAGGAACTGTGTGTAAAGAAAGAGTCAGCATTGGCTGTACTGCTGTTTATTAAGACATAGACTGTGTCACCAGCTTTATTTAGAAATATCATACCAAGGGCCAAGGTATACTTGAACAACTTGATTTTTCTTTATAATATAATGACCTAACAAGGTAGGGGTAGAAAGAATGGTATATTGCATGTGTGATTTGATTACTGTTCATTACTGTTTAGTATACCAGACACTTGCACTGTAGAGTTCAGCAATCAGATATAGTGGTATCTAAAGTTTCAGAATTAGAAATTGAAACTAGACAAGTCATTACCATAATTCAATGTAAGAAATCCATATAAACATTTTAAAATTATAGCAGTATATTGCATCATCATTTCCATTTTAATATGTTATTTACATATCTATTTAATAATCAAGCCTAGGACATGTATTTGTTTTAATTAAAATTAGATATTTGTATAACTTGTTTCCATTGACTTAACCAAACTTTAGAAAACTCCCTTTGAATATCATCATTTCAATTAAAGCTAGCTGATACTCAAGACACATCCTTGGGACAAATAATCTCTCAGCTGCTATAGGAGATATATAACTGATATTACCTGTGTGTAAAAGAAACATTGTAGCTTTTGGAGTTATTAAGTGAAAAATATTGCGGATTAGTTTTGTAACGTGCGGGCGGTCACCCCTCCAACTACTGACCACACTCGACGTTGCTGAACTACTGAGCGGGTCCCCAAGGTTATACCGCATCACTGGAAAGCTAGCTTGCCAGTAAGGCAGTATTTCCCCCTCCTATTCCTTAGATGTCACACTCTCTCGCTAATTTGAAATATTGATCAAATGAAGGAGAAATCTTCATTGGCGGTTTCAGAGTTGGCACACACTGTAAACATAATTATTTTAGGGCACTCAAATTTAAG